AAAACGAACTCTACAGAGGTGTTAATCTTTCCCTGTGCTATCCATAGAGATAGAGTAGCTGTTCTAACTTACATACAAACTCGACTTAAGAACAAACCCACATGAGACTGCCTGCATATGAACATTGTACACTTTGAAAATATCACTTGACAGGAGAAAACTTTTAAAATCCTTTTTTTTCACATGTAAGAGTATCATCAAACGTTTACATTCCTAATGAACAGTTAGCCAAAGATGTGCTGCCCTATCATGTCCCCACTAATTTCCTCCCTCTACTTACTTGTTTTGAAATGTAAAAATAATTACACTGAAACTTCTAAATTAAACATTTCCTCCAATGTTTGTGAGTTTTGATCTCTACCAATTTATGTAGTAATGGCTGACGTTTCAACAAATCCCCCCCCCCCAACTCTCAGCCTTTTACATTTTTAAACTAATACCTCCCCCTCCCTCCACACACACACCCTGTCTTTACCACAAGGTCTTTCAAACAGTTAGGAAGAAGAGATATTCTCTCTCTTGTTCTATCCCCCTTCTCTCTCACACACTTGATTTTTATATCTAATCAGTAGCACATTTTAACATTGACTTACAAGAAATATTAAGTGTTGTTATTTTTTTTATCAATGCATTTGAAAAAAAATAAGACAAGATCTCGCAATCATTTTTCAATGCTATTGCCACTACCAACCTATTGTATATACTGAACTATTGTACAAGAAATAATCCATAGTGTTCCAGCTGGGCTCCTGTACCAGCTTTCTGAAGCTGAGAGATACATTTGCACATAGATAAAAATATTATAGCACAGCATGGAGGAAATCAGGCACACTCCAACATATTTAAATTGATTTTAAACCACTCCAGACACAACACACTTGATACACGTATCCCACCCTGACACCCCCATGGATAATATGGTCTACACTTTATGTTTAAAAGATGAGACATAGTCCATTGTTAACTTGCACAAACATTCAATATCTTTATGAAAAGTACAAACTGTTGGCATAAAGCACATTACCTATGAATTATTAAATTCATTGAAATAGAATAATTGATTTGGTTTTTTTCTTGAAAAATTTTTGATGGACACTTATAAGCAATATGATTGTATTTATAACAGCCTTAATAATTCACCATAGAAATCTCTCGATAAAGTACTTTACCAATTCAACAGGTTTTCAAAATTTCTGTTGGAAAATGCCTGCTTTATCATGTGTATTCATGGAGCACAGACCTTTCCTATCTAAAATCTATATACCAGACTAAAACAAAAGAGGGTGAAATAAATTAATTTGTAATTTTCTGGGAAAAATGGGTTCCCAAAGTAAATGTCCTTTAGGTAGAACCATTTCCTTTTAGTTTGTGAGATGTGCTATTAAATGGATACTTCTAAACTAGAAGTATTGGTATTACAAAACCTGGACTGTAGAGTTTTCAATTACTCATTTGTTAGCAAACGAAAGAACATAAACTACAGTCCTTAATTATACTGCCTCCCATAGCACATATCTCTTTTGTACAGAAAACTTCCCAACATTTCCACCATTACTAAGACACTTATCCAAAAGATCTCAATGGAATTAATTTCCAAGTAGTACAAGGTCACTGTTGAGCACCACATACCCCTTCAAAAAACAACCCTAGCTGATCCAATGTGTCCAATTACCTAAAATGTATGCCCCCTAATTCTGTTTACTCAGAACTATACATAATTTATATACTACACATGTATTCAGAGAAGCCCAGTCTAGCACATCCTGACTCAGAAGTAATTGCTACTTTAGAATCCCAATCCTAAAAATTTACACTCAGAAGAAGTGTACTTGAATATTTGCTGCCTGTAGATAATTTACTTGAGAATCACTCAGGTGGTTTTGCGTTCAGTCTCTGTTCACCAACTCTCCAGCCCCTTTGTGTGTCCCGATGGAAAGCTGTTCCTTATTTTCTGCCTAATCCAAAGCATGGAAATAAATTGCACCATGATGCCTAGGATTGTAAGAGCACACCCACTTACCTGGGAGGATACATTGCCAAGTGCAACTTCTATAGGAAACCCATGTTTCCTGCAGGGCAAAATAGGGTCAGATTGGATGGCCCTTGGTGGTCTTTTCCAATGGTTGACTTTGCAGTCTTTCAGGAACTATAATAGAATTAGAGTTGGAAGAGACCACCAGGGCCAGTCCAATTCCATTCTGCCTGGCGGGAACACATAACCAAAGCATTTGGTTAAAAGCTCCAAAAGAGGAAACTCCACCACATTCTGCACTGCACTGTTGAACACCTCTTACCCTCTGGAAGTTTGAGGCTGGTTCTATACTGCCCAGTAGCCCAGGATCTGATACAGATTATATGCTTTGAATCTGGCAATGTAGACTAATATAACCCAATTCAAAGCTGATAATCTGCATCCAGATCCTGGTATACATGTAGATCCAGGAGGGACATGTAGATCCAGGAGGGTAACTATTATAGAATTACAGGGTTGGAAGAGACCACCAGGGCCAGCCAGTTCAACCCCATTCTGCTAGGCAGGAACACACAACCAAGGCACTCCTAACAGATGGCCATGCAGCCTCTGTTTTAAAGTTCCAGAAGAGAAAACACCACCACACTCTGCTCAGCACTCTTGAACACCTCTTACCGTCTGGATGTTCGAGGCTGGATCTACACTGCCCTATATATCCCAGGTTCTGATTTCCGATTATCTGCTTTGAATCTGGAAGTGTAAACTAATATAACCCAATTCAAAGCTGATAATCTCTCCCAAGAGACACCAGAATGGCCCCATCCCTCCTGGCCTTCAGCAATCATCAAAACATTCCGCTGCCAACAGGCTTTTCGGGAAGGGGAAGCTCTGGGGAAAGTGGGATTGGGGGGATGACTATGACTATGAGTTATAAAAGCCATTTTAAGGTATTGGCTGTATTTCCATTCTATTTTACTGCACTGTTACTATTTAATTGTTTTTCAACTTTTTGTATTGCTCTTTTAAAACTGTTCAGTGTGACTAGGGGCCCTTCCACACAGCTCTATATCCCAGACTATCAAGGCAGAAAAACCCACAATATCTGCCTTGAACTGGATTATCTGAGTCCACACTCAGATGGTGTGATATTTTCTGCCTTGATATTCTGGGATATAGGGCTGTGTGGAAGAGTCCTACAAGTCAGCTGCCTTGAGTTCCTATGGAGAGAAAGGTGGGACATAATTTAAAAAAAACTATGACCAGGCCCTGGGACATGGGGCAGTGTAGATCCAGCCTAAGGCCCCTTCCACACAGTTAAATAAAATCCCACATGGAAGGGCCCTGAGTCCACACTGCCATATAATCTAATCCAAAACAGATATTGTGTGAATTTCCGCCTCGATGTGCTGAGTTATATGGCTGTGTGGAAGGGCCCAAAGTGGAATCTCCTTTCTTGATCGGATTGCTGCAGCAGGAGCTTCTTTGGGCTCAAAGGGGGAGGAAGGAGGAATCAAAGGGCCTTTCCACACAGCAATATAATCCAGAATATCAAGGCAGATAATCCCACATTATCTGCTTTGAACTGGGTTATATGGCAGTGTGGACTCTGATAACACAATTCAAAGTAGATATTGTGGATTATTTGCCTTGACATTATGGGTTAGATGGCTGTGTGGATGGCTCCTGAGTCATATGTCCCAGTTCAAAGCAGATAATGTGGGATTGTATACATCTATGTGGAAGGGACCTCAGATACCTCAGTTCAAAGTAGATATTGTGGACTATCTGCCTTGACATTCAGGGTTAGATGGCTGTGTGGATGGCTCCTGAGTCCACACTGCCATATATCCCAATTAAAGATAATGTGGGATTATATACATCTATGTGGAAGGGACCTCAGATACCTCAGTTCAAAGTAGATATTGTGGGTTGCAGTGTGGACTCTGATAACACAATTCAAAGTAGATATTGAGGATTATCTGCCTTGACATTCTGGGTTAGATGGCTGTGGGGATGGCTCCTGAGTCCACACTGCCATATATCCCAATTCAAAGCAGATAATGTGGAATTATATACATCTATGTGGAAGGGACCTTAGATATCTCAGTTCAAAGTAGATATTGTGGATTATCTGCCTTGACATTCTGGGTTAGATGGCTGTGTGGATGACTGAGTCCACACTGCCATATATCCCAATTCAAAGCAGATAATGTGGATTGTATACATCTATGTGGAAGGGACTTCAGATACCTCAGTTCAAAGTAGATATTGTGGATCATCTGCCTTGACATTCTGGGTTAGATGGCTGTGTGGATGGCTCCTGAGTCCACACTGCCATATATCCCAATTCAAAGCAGATAATGTGGGACTGTATACATCCATGTGGAAGGGACATCAGACACCTCAGTTCAAAGCAGATATTGTGGGTTACAGTGTGGACTGATAACACAATTAAAAGTAGATGTTGTGGATTATCTGTCTTGATATTCTGGGTTAGATGACTGTGTGGATGACTCCTGAGTCCACACTGCCATATATCCCAATTCAAAGCAGATAATGTGGGATTGTATACATCTATGTGGAAGAGACCTCAGTTCAAAGCAGATATTGTGGGTTGCAGTGTGGACTCTGATAACACAATTCAAAGTAGATATTGTGGATTATCTGCCTTGATATTCTGGGTTAGATGGCTGTGTGGATGCTCCTTAGTCCACACTGTTCTAAGCAGATGATGTGGGATTTTATTCTGTTGTGTGGAAGGGGCCATAGACTCCTTGTTTTGGCAGAAGGAAAGTCACAAAGTTCTGAGGCGTGGTGGGTTGGTTTGGAAATAAATACCTACCCCCTCCCCCCCCCACGCGCCCCCAAACTGAGGAGACCCTCATTGAGAAGGAAGGAAAGAGAAGCTCCTTTGCTACCTCACGTGTCGGGCAAAAGAGTCTAGCCGTAACACTACTGAGGGAGCTGTTTTGAGGGGATGGAAGAGGCACCGCTTGAGAGGGGAGCCTCCCGCGCGCTCGCGACTCACCAGCTGCCCAGGCGCAGGGTCAAGAGCAGGAGCAGGAGCTTCTCCATGCCAAGTCCGGGCTCCGCGCGCTTCGTGTCTCGCGGCAGAGCAGAGCAGCGCGCGCCTTCCAGTTCCGCCTTGCCACCTTCTTCTTCTCTCTCTCTCTCCTCTCGCCCCGACACCTGCCCTCCAGCAGCAGCAGCTCTGCCACCACTTTAAGGCGCGCGCGAGAGACGCCCCGCATCAAACAGGTAGCAGCGGGGACGGGGGGTTCGCGGACGGAGCCGTCGAGGCGCGAGCGGCCAATCCGAGCCTTCGCTTTCGCCGTCCATCACCCGAGCTGGCCAATCAATCCTGGCGTAGGGCGGGGCTTTCTCTATATAAGACAGGGCAGTCCGACGAAGCCCTCACAACTTGTAGCGGCGCGGGGATGGTTGGAGGAAGGGAGGGTTGAGGAAAGAAAGGAACAGAGAGAGCCTTTTTGTTTTCTTTCAGGGACCTGCTTTGGGGAAAGGGGTGGTTTTATTTCTGTGAGGAAAAGGCTTCAGCTCTTTATTTGTCGTGTCAGGGCAACCAGTCAATTGTATTACATTTCTAACAGAACAAAACAAACAGACAAAACACAAAATTTGCAAGGCTTCAGCTCTGAACAGCACCTATCAATTTCAGATTTGTGACCAGCTTTTGTGTAGGGGTTAAAAATATCCCTTTAGAGAGATAGCATTGAGTAGCCTTGCTGCTGCAAAGCCTGGATGTTGTTGCCTGGGGGTATCCTTTGCTTGGGAGGTGTTAGTTGGGGAAAGGGGTGGTTTAATATCTGTGAGGAAAAGGCTTCCTCACAGATACTACCAGCTGTTGTGTAGGGGTTAGAAATACCCCTTTAGAGAGATAGCATTGAGTAGCCTTACTGCTGCAAAGCCTGGCTGTTGTTGTCTGGGCATATCCTTGGGAGGTGTTAGTTGGGGGAAAAGGTGGTTTAATACCTGTGAGGAAAAGGCTTCCTCGCAGATACTACCAGCTGTTGTGTAGGGGTTAGAAATACCCCTTTAGAGAGAGAGCATTGAGTAGCCTTGCTGCTGCAAAGCCTGGCTGTTGTTGCCTGGAGGTATCCTTTACTTGGGAGGTGTTAGTTGGGGAAAGGGGTGGTTTAATATATGTAAGGAAAAGGCTTCCTCACAGATACTACCAGCTTTTGTATAGGGGTCAGAAATACCCCTTTACAGAGAGAGAGTATTGAGTAACCTTGCTGCTGCAAAGCCTGACTGTTGTTGCCTGGGGGTATCCTTTGCTTGAGAGGTGTTAGTTGGGGAAAGGGGTGGTTTAATATATGTGAGGAAAAGGCTTCCTCACAGATACTACCAGCTTTTGTATAGGGGTTAGAAATACCCCCTTAGAGAGAGAGCATTGAGTAAGCCTTGCTGCTGCAAAGCCCGACTGTTGTTGCTTGGGGGTATTCTTTGATTGGGAGGTGTTAGTTGTTGGGAAAGGGGTGGTTTAATTTCTGTGAGGAAAGGGCTTCAACTCTGAACAGCAGCTATCAATTTCAGTTTTGTGACCAGCTTTTCTTTGGGGGTTAGGAATAATAATAATGATAATAACACTTTATTTATACCTCGCTACGATCTCCCCAGGAGACTTGGTGAGGCTTACATGAGGCCGAGCCCAGAATACAACAATACAAGCAATAACAACAACAATACAAGCAATTGAAAAACAACCAAGGCAATAAAACAATAACATAAGCATTAACAATAGGCAGGTAAGGCTACCTAGCATCAGGCCCGTAGCCAGGATTTTGTTTCAGGGGGGGGGGCTGAGTCTGAGTGAAAGAGGGTCTGCCCTAGCAAACCTTTTGTATCATTACCCCAATACCCCCATGCATATGGGATATATTGAGTATGGTGATCAGATCATGATATGAATAAACATAACAGTTTAAATAATGCACCATTAAGGCCTTTTCGCGAACCACCATGAAAATTTTGGGGGGGGGGGGCTGAAGCCCCCCGCCCCCCCCCCCCCCCCGGCTACATGCCTGCAATAGGACAACACACTTCTATCAATTTCAGTTTTGTGACCAACTTTTCTGTAGGGGTTGGAAATACCCCTTAAGAGAGATAGCATTGAGTAGCCTTGCTGCTGCAAAGCCTGGCTGTTGTTACCTGGGGCACCCTTTCCTTGGGAAGTGTTAGCTGGGATTATAATTTATTATTATTTACAGCATTTCTTCCCTGCCCTTCTCACCTCCCCCCCCCCCGGGGGGGGGGGACGACTCGGAGCAGCTAACACAGGCAACAATTCGATGCCACAATATCAATAAACAACAATATAAAACCATCAATACATAATAGATTAAAAACAGTAACAGATTCCCCTATTTCAGTGCTTGTAGGTTTCAATGGCTCCACACAGCCATATAACCCAGAGTATCAAGACATAAAATCTGCTTTGAACTGGGATATCTGAGGCCACACTGCTTTGTATTCCACTTAAAAACAAAGTGTAGGATTTAAGTCAGCTGTGGGGCCAAAGTGAGGGGGAGAGAGAACAAATGGATATATTAACAGACAGTAAAGAGGGTAGGAAATATCAGATGTTCTTTGACGAGCCTTCTGAAACCCCCTTGTGGACCCCCCCTTGGGGGTCCCAACTCCGAGGTTGAGAAACGCTGATGTAGACACATAGCCCCTCCTCCTAACCTGTAGGTTTGCTTTGTATGCAATATTTCAGTATAAAAAAAATACTTTTCAGTTGTTGAACAGCAATCCCATACAATCTTTCCTAGGCCTGAGTAGGATAATACTGTAAAGCACCTTTAACTTTTAGAGTTGACTAGGTGTACCCTTGGCCATACATTTCTGTGGCCCTCAGAAAACATGAATCCCAGACATGAAACAATCTGGGCTAGAGAGCACCTCTCCACAAAGGTTTGCTGTAGGAGGAAGAAGCTAGGCTTTTAAGCTGCAAGGCTTTTCAAAGGTTATGAAGGTGGGCAATGTATGTGTATATATGTGTGTGTGTGTTATGTATGTATGTGTGTATATATTTATGTGTGTATATATGTGTATGTATATAGGAGTGTATATGTGTGTGTATATGTACATGTATGTGTTGTTTGTATATGTGTGCAGGCCTGGGCCTACTTGGGCCCTCCAGACATTTTGGACTTCAGTTTGCACAATTCCTAAAATCCAGAACAGTATGGCTATTAGGAATTGTGGGAGGTGAAATCCAAAATGCCTGGAGGGCCCAAGTAGGTCCAGGTCTGGAATATGAGATATTACTGAACCCTGTGTTTCTTTTGAGGCCTACGCAACCTCCTCTTGGCATGGCTCCTCCTCCCTCCCTCACTCCCTTCCCTTTCCCTCTAGCCTTCCTTGCCTGACGGCTGCAAAAGGCCCTCCCCTTCCTTCCTTGCTTGCTTCTTTGCTTCTTCTGTTCCTCCGTCCGTCCTTCCCCCTCACCCTCTCCCTCCCTCCCTCCCTCCCTCTCTTGCTCTCTTAGGAGGCTCTAAAGGCTGCTTTTCAGAGCAGCTTTGCCGGCTCACTGTTTGCAGGGCTGCTGGCTTGGCTCCTGAAACAGGGATGGCCAGCTGCTTTGCTACGGATGGCTGTTTGTTTCTCCCTCTTGCACAGGAGGGGGCGGGGCTAGGTTTTGCACATGCGTTGTAAGGTATTTTTTATTTTTTAAGGATTTTAAAAGATTCACGGTTTTGGAGTTTGTTTTCATCATTGGTCATTCCTTGGGGGTATGAGACATTTGGAGGCCAAATTTGATGTTGGTTGGCCCCATATTTTGTTTGTTTTTAGCCTACTCACAATGCACAGAAGCTTTTTTTATATTAAGATGCTGAGGGCTGATTCATTGACCTGGCATGCATCTGGGAGTGCATTCACTTGAAGAGCAGCCTCCATTGGCTGTAGTAGTTATCAGTTCTGACACCTGCTACAGCAATTCACAAAAAGCTCATTTCCATCCAGCACTGCCAGCATCATGTTCACCGTTTATGTAGGCCTGGGCTGCTTCATGCAGCAGCGGAGAGGAACAACAAAATCCATGAACATTGCTGCAACCATTTTTGTTGTTCTTTTGATGCTAGAAGGAACTAGAAGTTATATGAATGGACAAATAGGCACCAGGGCTGGAAGGAATTCAGAGTTTTGAATTAGTATAATTTATCCAAGATCCCCCCCCCACCTCAAATACGTACAGCCTTTGTTGGAAGTAGTGCTGCTAATTATGAAAAATCAACTCTTTGGCCCATTTGGCTTGGTCAATGCAGCTAATGCTTTATAACCTATAATTATAACTCCTGTTTGCTACTGCATATTCCATTAAGAAAAGCAGACACAAAGGAAGCAAAAAGACCAATATCCATAATTTGAAGCATGGGGTGTCAGCTAAGGTTGGTGTCATCTGCTGCAACAATCCCAATGGGCTTCCTCTTGTACCAGTTCATACAAAATCCTCAGTAATTTTTTTCTTTGTGCTAACATCATTGATATGTTGTCATTCCTGTATCTCACTGAATGTGATGACAAAATCATCAACAGTAAAACTAGTAGCAATGAAAACAAAAATGCAGACAAAACTATGTGATTCAGTGTACCATTTTAACTGAGTAATAATGACAGCTCTGACCAGGATGCAAATATTAGAAGGTTCAAAAAGTAAACTAGCATGGAATGTTGGACTTTGGGGTCTATTGATCAGCACATGTAAGCTGGGCTTACTAAAATATTTTTAGGGTTAACTTCAAAGACAAATTTTCCTTTATTACTTTTTTATTTATTTAAAACATTTATATTCCGCCCTTCTCACCCCGAAGAGGACTCAGAGCGGAGCACATTATATACACGGCAAACATTCAATGCCTGGATACAGTACATAAACATTAAAAAACATTTATCGAAATATTAAAATATACCATTTAAAATAACACCATTTAAAACCGTCCTAGCCATCCACATCCAATTCAATTGGCCCTATCATCTTTCCCATTGCTGCTTCATTGCCCTGTCCTGAAAGCTTGGTTCCACAGCCAAGTTTTTACCATCCTTCTAAAGGACAGGAGGGAGGGGGTCAACCTGATCTCACCAGGAAGGGAGTTCCATAGCCGGGGAGCAATTACCGAGAAGGCCCTGTCTCTTGTCCCCACCAATCACGCCTGTGACAATGGTGGGATGGAAAGTGGGGCCTCCCCGGGGGATCTTAATCTCCATGATGGTTCATAGGGGGAGATGCGTTCGGACAGGTTATTTGGGCTGGGGC